CCATGAGAGCCTTCGAGGACACGGGCGTCGTGGAGGCGTTGTCTGGGCGCGCCGCGGTCGCGCGCGTCCGCGCGCTGTGCCGCGGCGGGATCGCGCGGGGCAGCGCGCGCCTGCGCTCTGGCGTCGGGCTGGCCCAGGAGAACCTTGGGCTCCAGGGGGCGCTGGGCCAGAGTCTGCGCGCGATCGGGGGGCAATGTGCGATAGAGGGGGGCTGGCACGTGGGGCCGCGTGAGCTGGCCTCCAACTCCTTCCTGCAGCAGGTCGGGGGCGCCATCGTGGCGCCTGCGGAGGGCGCGCGCGAGCCCGCGATGCGCGCGCTGGACTACTTCGTCGTCTCTCCGCATTTCCGCAAGGCGAAGGCTGCGGTCTGGGGCGGCTGGCCCACGACGCCGCGCTCTCCTGCGTGCCTGGAGATCCTCGGGGACATGGTGGACAGCTTGGTGCGGGCGCCGTGCGGGCCGAAGGCCGTTGGGCGACCGCGGGCGAGATGCGGGCCGCGCTGCGGCGCTACCGCGAGCTGGCGGGTGTCTTCTGTCAACCTCAATCTGGGGCATTTGCTGGCCCTGGACGACATCGGGATTGAGTGGCTGATCGACGTCGTCTGCCTCGCGGAGGAGAAGGCGCCCTGCCCCCCCCCCCCCCCCCCTCCTGATCTCGATGATCCTCCTGCCCGAGAGGGGGGGCGGGCGAGGTGGGGCCGATCGCGCTCGCGGCCGCGCTGGCTCGCATTCACGCCCGCTGAGGGCTGGCCAGCGAGCGGCCGCGCTGGCGGGCCGCACCTGGGCGCTCGTGCGAGCGAGGGGCGCGGCAACAGGCCGCGCGGGCCGAGTGGGCAGCTGGGCGAGAGGGGGCGTTTCCGCTCGAGGAGTGGGGGGCCGCCACTCTGCTCCTCGAAGTCTGGAAGTCCGGAAAGCATGCGGGCAGGTGCTTCGCCCTCGCCTGCTGCGGGCAGCGGCGCGGCACAAGTGCCCGCTCTGCGCTCGAGCTAGTGAACGGCGCAAGGCCATCTCAGTGGCGCAGACGATCCTGGCAAGGTGCGGGTTCGCGACCACGCTCTCGAAGTTCCAGCTTCTCGAACCCCTCGATGGGGTGCGCAGGGTGGCCAGGGGCCTCGAGGCCGCCGTCGCGGTCGACGACGCGGCGATGTCTCGCCGCGGCGGCAAGCGCACAACTTCGCGAGAGATCGCCAAGGGTGCCCGGGTGCTCCAGCGCGGCCTCAAGGATGTCGGGTTGCACATCGCCCTCAGGAAGTCCCAGGCGGTGGTCTCGTCGGCGGACCTCGAGACGGAGCTTCAGAGGCAGCTGCAGTGCGTCGGCGCGCAGGCCAATCAGCAAGTGCGAGACCTCGGCGTCGATTTCGGCCGCGGGGAGAAGCGGCGGCGAGGCGTGCTTAAGGATAGGCCTAAGCACGCCCGCGCCCGAGTGCCAAGGTTTCATCGCATTCCGGGTACGGCCAGCCGCCGCCGGGCGGCGGCGAAGGTCGTCAAATCTGCGCGAACGGGATGGGCACGGAAATAATGGGTATGATGCCCAACAGCAGTTCTTGTTCATCTTGGACAGGGCTCGTTGTCCGCGCCGCCGCGGCCTGCGCCCATTCGAGACAGGAGGCCGCCTGCCCAACAGCGGCCGCTGATGGCTTGGGACAACATTTGCTGTTGGGCATTGTACCCATTCTTTCCGTGCCCATTTCTGGCGCCCAAATCAAATGTGGCCTCAAATCCAGCTGCGCGCACGGCATGTGCGCGACAGGCGCCGCCAAAGGAGTCGGGCTCCACCTTCGACGCGACGGGGCCCAGGGTCGGCGGGAAGTCCAAGCCCATGGGCTTGGTGCTGACGGGCGGCCGCGACTTCGATCCCATTCATAGGTGTGGCAAGGACGTGGTCGCCACCTGGTGCCGCGTGCCCTGGGAAGGGCAGCTGCCCCCGCAGGTCTTGCAGGACGGCTTCGCGGCTGAACTGGCGCGGGCCCATGCGCGGGCCGGGGTGCGCGGGCCCCTCGGCGCTGCCGTCGTGGCGCTGAAACGGCCGGGTTGGAAGATGGAGGGCCTAGGCGGCTGGGCAACCCCAGCCGAGCATGAATATTGCCCGCTGCAGTTCGCGCCGTGGACGACCAAGAAGCTCGCGGCGCAGTCCGCGGAGCGCTGGCAGTCGTTGAAGGTGCTCGAGCGGGCAGGCCTCCGGCAGCTCCGCAGGTGGACGAGCGTCGGGAAGAGGTCGGCGGCCGATGCCAAGCGATGGCCGCCGCCCACCGACGAGGGGACGGTCTATGCGCGGTCGGTGCTGGTGGGCGGGCAGTGTCTCTACGAGCGCAGGCACGCGGC